CATTCGAGAAATGCAGTCTACTGTGCGAATGCTGAGTGCCTATGTAACTTGAAGGTGGCGGGCAAAGACAGAACGAGGGTGCGAAAATTGTACACTGCCTTGAAGATGGCAAGAAAACTCTGAATTGTGAAAAACGACGAACCAAAGCAGTAAATCTGATGCAGAATCTTGTTTGCAGCGGTCTGACCGGTCAGTTCGGAGTTAGTCTAATACCGCCGACGAGGCTTCTATCCTCGTTGGGCTGTTTGGTCTATGATCAGGGTCACAAAAGGCTTAAGTGGAGATGATGAAGTAGAGGAATCACCAATACGCATGAATGGTAGCAGGTATATTAGAAACACCGGGTACATTAAAACTGTAGAGATTCATTGGTGTCACTGATAGAGTGGATTTGGGTGTAAAAATTCAATGGGAAGGGAGTTGGTGATAACACACAAGACGGGATGTGAGCTTCACGGAAAATGACTCCAGATGAAATAATTCACTGAGCTTCCCTGAAACCATATAGTTTTTGCAGATGCAAAATATGGAGAGGTGCCACTCTTGTAAATATTTTCGCCATTTATGTCTGCTTAGCTGGTTGAATACTTAATTGACAATTGCTATTCTTGGAAGACGCATTCATTATCGTCGGATAGATTGTGCGGATTTGGGAGAACGTAAAGCATGCGGACACCGACAAACCATGCTGGTTTGTTTTTGAACAGCGGAGCTTTGCAACGCAACAGGCAGAATATGCCAGGCCGAGCAAGTCGTCCATCACCGGAGACAGCCAAACCAACCTAGCTGACGCACAAAAATCGTATGCGGCTAGAGGTTCACGATGATTAATCAGCAGGCCGAAGTGCATCCACATATTTCCACTGGGGAAAACACAAAGGTCCGAATTGTACTATGTGAAAATTTGAATTTAATTGGTCGTTTGGTTAGTCCTGGCAGTAAGTTTATGGCTTTCTTGATGCACAGTGTCCATTAAACTATTGATGCCCTCGCATGAGGAGATGTAACTTTATTTGTCGAAATATCAATATGAGGCAGGTGGCTGATAAACAGGAAGAAGTACTTACACTATAGGGGGAGCGCTTCAACATCGACAATCTCGGTGAGGAATTTTTACACAAGGCAACATTCAGCGACTGATTCTCGTCGCGTGGTTTCTTACACCCAACTGCCTACTTACTACAAGTTCTCAAAAACTGAGACTCATAGGATATACATGAGGTCTCGTTAGCAGACGAACGGTCTGGAGTTGATGGGCTCTGTATATCTTTCACGAAATCCTCGTCGTTTCATAACTGTAGCTGACACTCTACGGTATTAGTGCTAGCAGTACTTGTAGTAAGATATTAACTCGCGGGTCCACATCAGCTTCTTTAAAGGGCCGAAAATACGGCCGAACCCAGACTTCTGGGACGTACCGCACTGGAAATCTGTGCTTCGGTCCTGGTCAACGTCATAAGACACCCCCTTTACGGACCGTTTAGCAAGCACACCTCTGCATTTTCCGTACGGGCTAGGGGCCCAGGCCCAGGTCCCCAGGCCCACCCTGGGGACAAGACTAGAAAGCGTCACCGCACGGCGGGTAGGGTCACTTGCCAAAACAGTCAACATAAAAAGTAGTCCGTTTCACACAAGCGGTCATTGATGCTAGTCGGATGGTCACAGAGTACGGAAAAGCTTCAGTCTGTGTCACCAGACCGCCACCTGGGTTGGAGCGCAGTATACTGGACGACCGGCAACAGGTCGTCAGTTGCAGACGTCGAGGCATGGTGAAGCGGGATTTACCCCCTAAAAATTGACTGCTTAATGACGAACATAACCCACCGTACAAAGACGTGAAAACTTATTATTGTGTTCAAGATAATAAGAGGTGAATGAGAGTTGGTTCCTCTCTTCCCCTGGACATGAACACACTAGACATCCGACGCTTTGCGTGCCGTTTATTATGAGTGAGCACGGTCATCTTACTAACTTCTTCGGATTCCTCAAGTTTCCATTTCACTTGGGGACCCGTGCCGCTTATGTATACACCCATTTGAGCACGGTCATCTTACTAACTTCTTCGGATTCCTCAAGTTTCGATTTCACTTGGGGACCCCTGCCGCTTATGTAGTACACCCATTTGTAACGCAAAACAGCCTAGAATACTGGATGAACGCACATAGCCATACTCCATAGCCTCAGAAGCATCAAGCAATAAAAGGAATCAGCCCTAAATTTTTGGAAAAACATATGTGAAGCCACTTCTGAAGCCGTAGCACGGCAAGTTTTGTGTCGAATGCGCACCGAAAGTTTAATGTGGAGAATAATTAGAATAAATCGCGACAAAGTGTAGATAGATTAGGGTGGGTTTCGGTTGCAGCACGCATACAGCAAAATCCTTCATACTGAAGTAAAGGGCTTTATTCCATACGCCAAATTGTGCAGATGAATATATTGTTCCTATTGGGATCAGCGCGCATACTGTATTTTGGGTAGGGAATGTGAATAAATATCTTGAATGCGAATAATGCGCCATATACCAGACAGGCAGAGGAACACTGGGATCATTGTATCGATCTCGCTCTATCAACCGACACTAAGTTATTGCTTGACTTGGAGCCCTTTGGAATCAATTCGCTTGGAGCTCCACTGCCGCTGAGTTATGCCCGCCGAAAGATATAACTGTGACTACTATGTACGCCTTTACTGTGGGTAAAAAAGCGAATTTTCGACTGTCTTTTGGTCAGTTTCGAAGGTTTTTAGAGAAACGTACATATTGGCCAAAGCCACTCCATATGTCAAACTCTCTTAATGCCACAGCTTCAAGTTACAGCTACAAATAGCTGTGAACTCCTCGGACTTTGTGATACTGCCGCGCTACCCGTCATTAAATCACACCTCGTCTCTGGAACGCAATGTGAAACATCCACAGAGAATTGCTCATGTCCACCGAATTTGATTTGTGTCTGGCGATTAAGGGTGTTCGAAATGGTGATCTGCATATAGAGAGGTTGTGCTTGTCATGGTTGGAGTTACACTGGTTGCCCTCTTGACGGTTATGGATGGAGGGCTGTGTTTGCGACGTGTCAGTGGATCAGTGGAGCAAGCCGGATACGTTTCAGCTTGACGATTTGTTAGAAAGAAAGTCATCTAATGCTTCTTCAGAAATGACTTTCTGTGGTCATCGCCCCATACACCAAAATCTTCGAAAAATAACATATAACCACCCGATCCGGCAAACCGAATAGTGGCACGTATATATATACCGGGCCAAGCCTAATGGTAATGCTACTTCCTAGTCAAACAAAAGCAGATATAGCTGGTCTCAACTTACGAGCGGTTTCCACGTCCACATCAAGCCCCAGTCTAATGTCTTGGGTGGTCCTGTGTGCTAGAGATAAAAATCGGGCTCGTGGCGAATTTCCGTGGCCGTTAGAAATTATTTCGTGTAAATACAGCACGATATCGTTTTCGATGACACGCTACAACATTGTGCCAACATAAACAGCAAATGTAACAGTGTTTTGTGGTCGCTCATGTCAAAAAGCACCACCACTCCACAATTTCTCATAGACTCCACTACATGCACCTTTTTGTTTCTCACTGTAAAACTGGCGCATGTTGTGTTTAAATGATGGAGGAATTTTTTCATCTTGGAAAAAATCGCAAAACTGAACGGTTTTAAGCCTTGCGATGGCACACGAAACAAAAAAGCACCCTCATGCAACATAGCGGCTAATTTTTATGAATTCGCCTGAGGGAAGATGTATATTTTGGATTTCATATGGGGACACATTATAAGTTAAGCATAGCCATTAATCCAATTGTCAAACGGTTCACATCCAGAGCAGCAAAAACTTAGGATTACGTCATCAATGAGTACATCTTGTGGTTAAAAGAGCCCGGGCGTTGGAACTTTCACTCAGCAAAGGTACCTCAGTAATCCTTAATCACGGGGGGCGAGACGACCCAAGTGGTGAGAGCGCGAATTTCCTGCACGGAAGGTCCGTGTTCAAATCCAAACTTCCGCCACTCCACTTCCCCTGTCTAGGCTTGGGCAACCTGGCAGTATCCCAGCCCTCGTGCTTCCTTTGGGTGGCATGGCAGCTAGGCACCGGAAGGGTGATACAGCTGAACGCTTTTTACAGAAGACGAAGTTAATGTATCCAGTGACCTTGAAAATTATCTCTAGAACTTTTCTTTAAAGTGCAAGGAGACGGTGATGCTTGGACATTATGCGTTTGGAGGCTAATTTTAAGCTCGCTGGACAGATCAGTTCCAGCTGGTCCAACAGCCAATAACCTCAGTCGGGCTACCAACAGTTGAGCGTTTTACCAACCAACGCATTTAGCTTTCTCTGTTCTGGTGAGCAGCTTAGCACCGTTGTACCTTTTATTCGCACTCGTTCTCCACACGATGGCGATAAAAAAAAGAGAAAAATAATTTCACGGACCTAGTGGGCCCGTGACATGCGAAAGCCCAGTTGTTTGAAAAAACACTGGGTCAAACGCAGTTTCTGGCCTCAGCTGGTTAACGACTTGGTGGGTGTGATAAGAAGAACATGGAAAAGAAATTCATTTCCCTGATCCGTAAACCTGGACCTGACTGGCAAATATAATCGAAATATTGACTCGGCAGTGTAGAGTAGGAAAGTAGAAATGGTTAGAAATAATTATCCGTGAGAATTGTTTGGATGTATGAAAGGATGCGAGGGAAAACATAAGTTAGTAAAGGCTCATCAAAACAGGAACGTAAAAGGGAACCAAGAAAAGTATTCCAATGTCTTAGTACCGAAATTTATTCACTCAGGTAGGAGCTTACTTCCCTGCATTATCTCCAGGGCAAAATGCTCGATTCTCCAGCCCCATTATCTAAGTTAGGTACTCCGAAGTTTTTTTCAGGAGCCGCTAAAAGCGACTCCGCGTTGGACCCATATAATCATTGAACTTTTAACTTATGAACTTCAGTGGCGTAGATTTCAATGGGCTCGTGTAGGCGGCAGTTTGATATTTCAAGGGCAGCAAACGGACGACAGTTGGTGAAGACCTTTCGTAATGTGTTAAAATATTCGTAGCTTTGGTGAGCGGCTAAGCTTATTTAAACTAACCGTGTTTCTTGGTTTGGCTTATACGTTAGAATGAGTTTACGGATTTAGAAGAGTAAAATTGGCTAATAGTGCACCAAATTTTGAACCCTCCTGTACAATGTTTGACTGCAGAAATATATGCTGAAGTGTCACAGTCTTATGATAACCGGACCGATCTTTTATTGGCGTACGGTTTGTTACTGTAGAGCAACACGCTAGTCAGTAGAGATGTGTGTCGCCACTTTTGGGTTGTACTCCATTGTTTTCGTACGGCTGTGAGGAATTCATGAGAAGTTTCGTGGGGTTTCATCAACAAATAGAATCTCAATTTGGTTTATATGCACCGCAACAGCGTTTTTAAGTGTTTGCTCCAGCCGCAGTCTGTCTTTACCTAAGAATATCACTATTACCACATGTGTATCGTTTTTTAAGTATAATCCCCGGCGACTTCCACGGTCTCTAAATGCATGTGATGAGAGCGTTGTTGACAGAAATCAGTGATACGTAAAGCGACTATGTATAAACATACAGTCGAAAATGAGGTATTTATAGTGCAGTTCCAATTTGTATGGGACGAACTAACGAGAAAATGTTTACGAGGTTGTGGTGATAGCATCAGCCGTCTTGTTTCAAGGGAACTCGTGCGACACCACGTGATGTCCGACGGCATTTAGTGTCGCTAACGGGGAGCCTTATAGCCATTTGAACATGAAGCACTATGGTTGCTTTCGACTATGTCAGTCACTCAGCGCTGTTAACAACAACCACCCAACATAGTACGTCACAGAATCTTAACAACATTATCCGGTTCTTGCAGTCTTACATTTCTGAGTGTATGAGTGTACGGTGAGCCTTTCAAAAGCCTTCTTATGAAAGTGATGTCCGGTTAAAATACCTACTTTCTCCGTTATTATTCAGTTTCGTCTTCGATGAAATCATGAATAGAAGCTTTTCAAATACGTAGTGATCAAGTCATTGCTGGTGAGATCCTTGTTGACCTGGAGTACGCAGACGACATCGTTCTCATCTTCGAAGACAAAGGTGGAGCACAAGCCCTGCTGGATAGACTGATCACCGTCGTCCTATATGTCAGCATGCGCATTGCACCTCCAAAGTGCACGGTTATGCTTCAGAACGTGCGGATTCTTCTTAAAATTCAACCAGAAGCGCTAGGTATTGTGAAGGACTTAATGTATTTCGTTGGTCGTACTGGCTCCGAAAGAACTACGTTCGATGAAGTCAGTGAACGAATCTTGAAGACCACAATTACGTGTGCTGGTACACCTCACTTGTGATGTCAAAACGGTTTATCACCGGTCCTCAAGTGTCCTGTGTACCAGGCTAGGGTAATGGCTTTACAGTTATAGGGTCGCAAGTTTTCGGACGAATGATGTGAGGCGTCTTCATGTTTTTTTTACCACCAATCCCTCAGAAGTGTTGCTGGCTTTGGATGGCGTCAACGGATTAGTAAGGAGGTGATTAGAAAAAGGGTATTTTAATTATGCACCAGGCACTACAACCAGGAAAAACATCCATCACTATCAAATGCAGTAGTCATATTCTACGCAAGTCAAACCGCTGTCTAGGTGAGCTTCATGGTTGTACGGCGGCAAAATATAAGCGTCAATACTAATGTTGCTGTTTCTGATGATGATGCAACAAAACAGCTGGAAAACTTTTTAAGCAGTTTTGATCATGAGTATCGGTCGCAATCCGATTTTACCGCACTCTGCAAGATCTGGACGTGAACCTGATACTTAGAGTATTGCGTCCAACTGGAGGTACATTCCACAAGCGCACAAATAGCGGCTACTATGTAAGCAGAAATTTAGCCCATATTTAGACGCATTATCAATACGTCGTTTGATTGGTAACAGCACTTCCCTCGTTACGCTGCCACCGCGGCCAATCGTACAGTATATCAACCTCAGCTGTCGTAAAGCGCCCGATGATGACGGCATGCAAACCTACTGTTTGACTTCCAGGCAATGTGACAGCACGTCTGATGATGTCGACTGCCTAGTAGTTCAGCGAACACTCCTGACTGATCAAGCAACGACAGTCTACATGATCGAGAGACGGAAGGACCCAGTCGTAAACTGCCAGCGTCTTCTGGAAAACCATTTTCAGAGTTCGAAAACGAATGTGTTGGGAAAAGATTCGCAATCAGTCTTGTGCTAAATAATATGGACTAGTGGAATATTTAGTGATCAGTACAGGTACCTATGGTTTTCGCTCAGTTTGGATCTTCCGGGGGACAGTGCAGTTGTAAGAATGTTTCTGTCCTTTAGGCAGTTTATCAAGCTCCTACAAGGATAGTCAATGGACCGGTGGAGCTGGCAGTTGCTCAAGGAATTGACGATACGGAAAGGCTGATGATGTAATTGCAACTGACAGAAGCTGCATTTGCGACCAATCGGGAAACTCATTGACACTAGCATTAGAAGCAGAAGGGTTGGCATCAATAGTCTAATAGCAAACCGTAAGAAAATCCTCGATGTACTCCACTGACTAGTAAGATGACCCCAACAAGCCACGTGATTGCTATACCCCTTTTATTTCCCGCCAGATTTTATTGAGTGGGGTATGTCTAAATTCGTGTCAAATTCGACAGAGTACCAAAGACAGTCATGGCCTATACAGGGGTGCCTTAATTATAGGAAAGGCCATGTAGTGACAATTTGAACTATAAGACAAGTGCTTCGATACTGCTTGGGACCCACTAAGCATTCATGGAAGTCAGTTCGTCACTTTTTGGTGGACGAAACGTAGATACTTCATTTATTATTCGTAAATGACGAAATGGAAGGAATCGGAATGGAATGCCGTCTCCTGAAGAGACAAAACGAGTATTTTGGCGGAATATCCGTGAATTAGAATGCATTGATGAGCGTCTGGGGGTTAAAACAGGGTGATGCTGGTTGTAGAAGTCACCACAATCCGCTCAGTTGAGTATCAAAGCTAGGACGTAGATCACTGCATAAAGTTTCGCTCATATCTTTCATCTGAGTTAAGGGATATCTATGTTGTCTTGGTATGTCCGTTCAGTAGTACTGAACGGACAGTTTGCCGTTCTGAAACACTTCACACCACGACACATCTGTTCCTTCTTTCTAAAGCCGTCTGGCATATTTAAGTATGACTAATCCGATCTTCCCACCAAGACGGATCAATGCTTTGGAGATATCGGTGGTCAAACACTGACAACTTTCATGTCCTCTGTGCCTTTTGGACATGTTTCTGATCTATAAAGAGGTATGGACCAAAATGTGGCAGTGTAAACTCTGTACTTATCAGAAAATTTGACGCCACGTCGGCGCCGTAGTTGTCGGAGGCTGAAAAGGGTTGCCCTGGCCTTCATAATCCGAAGAGTAATCTGACCACCAGCTGGTCCACCGTAACTTATACGATTGCCCAGATAAACAAAATTATCTACCACGTCGATTGATTTAAATGCAAGTATGATGTTTGGGTTTGACCTTGTAGCAGCACTTTACACTTTGTCAATGTGAAGCGCATGCCAAACCATACGGCAGAGTTATTTAGGTTATTTAAATTGATTAGCATTTTTGAGGGCTCTGAGCCAAGGCGGGTAATAACGTCTACATACTCAGTGTTTGTGAGCGAACGTTTCATGAGCGTTTCGACTCCCAAGGTTTCAGAGGCGGGCGGAGAAATTCCAAGCAGAACATCAATAAAAACGCTAAAGAGAAAACGACAGAGAGAGGGCAGGTTCGTCTTTCACCACTGAACTTTGTGAACTCCGGTGAAAGCTTGTCGTACGCTCGTACGCGCCCACAGTAGTTTTCATACAGAGCCCTCACAAGGAATACACATTTGGGGTAGACACCTTTGATCGCCAGACAATACCAAGGCTTCTGACGATCGACAGATTCAAAAGTGGCCTTCAGACCAATGAGAACGACCGACATGGGACATTTGAAGCAGTAATGCTGTTCAGGAACTTGTCTCAAGGTAAAGATATGGTTGATGCAGGCTCGTCCGGGGCAAAACCCAGCTTGGTTTTCACAAATCTGTCTCTCCGGATAATCGACCAAGTTGAGCAAAATAATTTTAGAGGACCTCAAATGTGACGGTTGTTTGGTGGATGTCATGGTGACTTTCGCATGACTTTCTTGTGCCTTTTTCGGAAACTGTAATGATGGTTGAGGGGCTCCATTCTGTTTACTCTCCAAATCTTCCGCAGTACGGTTGTCAGACTGTTCACTGGGACCTCAGCACCTTCCGCCACGAGTGTGGGGTGCAGGCTATCCGCGACTGGTGCCTTGTCGCGCTTGAAGATTTATATCCTAAGCTGAATTTCTTTTGTTGATGATGGGCTGGTGTCAATGTTCCATTTAGGTCAGCTGGGTTAATCCAGTTGAACTGCTGAACTTTCTCTGAAGTGCTCAGTCTATCGCCCAGGATAACAATTGAGGGAGTGAATTGCTGTTCCGTCTTTTTCGCACATTTTCTCACTGACACCTGTCTTCTTTTGACAGGGCGCGGTTATTGTCTGCAGAGAATGCCTTCTCCACCTCCTGTGTCTCCGAAATCTACCGGAGTTGTCTGTCATTCTTCAGGCTTCTGATTATCCGGTGTTTGAGGGGCCTGCGTGAACCACCTAATTCAATTGTTGCTGGCAGGGTATTTTTGGTAGCAGTGTGGTCTGCTGATTTTGAAGATCTAAAATGTTTATTTAATTTGGTCGGATTGTTTGGATAAACGGTTCTGAAGACCGATAACACAGCTGATTTAAACCGCTTTCAATCAGCCTCTAAGCAATCTTCGTCATCCACATGACTGTGGGCTTCCAACAGCTGTCTGGTCAGATTAGGTCGATTTGCTTGAGATGCTGAAACTTGTTGAAGTTGATTATTGGAATAACTGTGCTTTGACATATGTAGTACTGGCGGAAAGCGAAGTGACAATTGGGCTCGTACAATCGTATGACCAGAGTCAAGCGACTTACCATATGAGGAACTACCTTTATTTATCGACGTTCTCCATCGGAAACTGATAGCCACATGGTCCAATTGAGTATATGAGCCTCTCGCGGTTGGTCTTTTTTAAGTAACGTGATGTGATTGTGTTGGAAGTTTATACTGGCCAAGAACAAACGGTGATCTGCACACAACTGAAGCATTCGCTGCTCATTGTCCGTAATCGGCTCCATCAATTCTAAATCTACCACCAAATAGTCTGCCATCTTTAGAATTCATAGCACCCCATAGGTTTGCCATATGTCCTTCTTGCTCACCAAAGCAATCGTGACAGATCTTGATAAAATCCGTCTTTCTCCGTCTTAGGACTGCTGTCTGTCTGGGCGTAACCCGATATGACAAGTAAACACCGCTTACTGCATCGACCTGCATCAATCTTGATTGAGCCGGACAATCGCACAGCACAGAGACAGCTGTTTACTGAGATTCAGTCCAGTGGGGCACCTTCATCGTTGCTGTTGAATGCAATCCGAAGATACCATGAGCCATTGCGCCAAGACCACGGGGTACCCGAAGAGTGAAATGCAGAATATCTGAGATCGTCTTACTCGGTTTGAGATGCATGAATAAAGTGCGATCTTGTATGCGTGTTCCAGAGATACAACACACATCGACAGATAGTGAAAGCAGATAATTACTGTCCAATTTGACGTAGAATGCGGACCTTAAAGTGTGCAATGTGAATCAGATCCCATTAGATTAAAAATGACCGATTTTATTTACTCTTCTGGGAGACGCTTTAGACACGGAACATTATCTAGGGGACTGGCACATGGGTTGCTTACACCGCAACCAAAAACCTTTAATGTCAGAAATTCCCGCACCGCGGTTTGTTTGGACTGATAGTCCTAGTGTGCCACACTCATTTCTGCGGGTATAGTGTGTGTTGCAGGCGGTGATATACGTTCATATCAGACAGTTTGATTCATGGTGGATCCAACAACTTAGGGATTTCGATCAACTTGCAGTAACTAGGTAGATAAGGTGTAGCATCATGCTACAATGGTCTGTAGTTTCTTCTATGCCTGCCTTTTCTGTAGCTTCTGTTGTAGTGTGGGTCGTTCAATAGAAGAGAAATAGATTATGTAAATTAATCATGATATAAATTAAACAGAGGTTTAATCTGTTTAGGCCTACAATCAATCAGCTCGACAACTTTTAAATATCATTTTACCGTTCTTTTCCCTTCAGCCACAAGAGTTTGGCAACTACATAGGTATATTTACAAGCTAAACATAGTAATAACATTGTGAAAGCACTGTAGGACATAGGCTTCATAAGAATTCCCGCGAGAAGAGCAGGAAAAGAAACTTGTAAGCTAAAAACCATTAGTCAGTAGGGTCGATAATTGCCAAACGACATTCATGTCGTTTGCAGCACTAAATCCGCCTCATATCGGATCATGCTCTCATTGAGTTAGGAATAGAGAAACTACGTACTTTGTTCGCAGTAAATTTGGGTATAACAACAAGTTACATGTAAAAGTACTTTCCCTCCACACATGCAACTGCTCTCTTTTCAGGAGTTCACTCAAAGTGCTGGGGATAGAGACCATGGATCACAAGTGGTGTGTTATTCTGCTGCTTTGTGCACTTCTACATTTGTCAACCATGAGTCAGTTTGCAGAGTTAGAAGAATATGACCTCAAAATGCCCGGCGTCCAAACTGAACAGGAAGATGGTTATGTCACATTCTGGTACCCTGTCATGAGCCCAGACCGAACGTTTTACGTAACAGACATTATTCCGAAACCTAATCACTCAACTGCTCATCACATGATACTGATGGGATGCACTGAGTCTGTTCGGCCTGGACCGGCAAGAAAACGAGCTGAACACAGTGGCGCTTGTTCAATATTGTATGCTTGGGCACACAACGCGCCACCTTTACATCTACCGGTTGGTGTTGGAATTGCTGTGGGACCATCGACCGCAATCGGATCTTTTAAGCTAGAACTCCATTATCTGCCGAAAGTTGACTATCCAGACTACTCTGGTCTGACGCTTCGATATACAGTACAAAATCAGCCGCGAGTGGTTGGCGTGTTTTTGATGTTAAGTAACTGGGCTCTCATCGAACCAGGACGGAAGAATGTTACCGTGGATATCTCTTGTCGGTAAGTTTCCGCACGGGAATTTGCGGTTCAGTTGCGCCCCCAAAATGTCCTGATTTTGCTTTTTTCCTACTCACGATTATCTTGCCAATTCCAACACGCGTGACACTTGTCTGCTTCACACGATTTCGGCTGGCACACAAGTTCGAACATTTTTCATTTTCATTGTCCTCGTCCTCAACAGCATCGGTCACCTTCAACCACAATCACTAAAGAGTATGAGAACTCATCCATCTAAATTGGTGACCTCATGTGTAAATAAATACGGAGGTCTGGTGAAAAGCAGGAAGCTGGACAGTGGCAACACTTTTATGGACACTGATCTTCCCAGTCGGTCTTATCACTATGGTTTCCAGCGGAAACAAAATATTAGAGTGGAGCCACTGAAACAAAAAACAGCCCTACACATACACCAACCAACTTCAACCAATAGTGGCATCTGAAATCAAGGTTGTTGGTACGCACGAATCTATAATATCATCAGTTCACTTGAATTTGGACGGACCTTTCAGATAACCATGTTCTGCCATGGAACTTACAGCTTGGGGATGATTCAGCCTGTCCTGAAATGCTGTCAACAGACGCCAACTACGATAAACGTAAACCATCAAGAAACACCGATCAATATGAGCCGACACCCCACCTCCCAATTTTTTAGTGTTGGGCCGATTGTTAAAGTTTTGTCCCCGCATCTAGCCGAATTTTTCTCAAATGTGTAACTATCTGTATCTATGGCAAACAAATCAAAAACACGCATATTGAGCTGGAGGACTTGTAACTTCGCTTGGAATGTCTTGTTAAACACATGTACGTATTAACATTGGTAAGTGGATTTTTCTCGAACATGGCAAACCCCAGGGGAAATTCACTCGTTGAGAGGCCAGGATGACGTTCTCTTTTATTAACAGAAAGACTACGTCTAAAAATAGGAGAGATAAACAAACTTGCTCCATGGTGCGCCTTATTCTATGGTCAGCGTGCAATATAATGGTGCTTTAACTTAAAGTAAGAAAACAACATTTATCACTGAATCCAGTCGTCGCAGTGAATCATTACAGTTTGCCCGGGCAATTCGGTCGCAACCTGATTAGGAACAAATCAGCTGCCTCCAGTATAATCTGAACTATCAATATCTTCTCGAATTCCACATGCTTGCAAGCCTGCCTTGTCAGTCAAGTCAGTCTGAATAGCTTGCACATCGGTTCTTAGTAAATGTTGGTGTCCAGCTATCTGGTACACTACCTTGCTGACCCTAGGACTTAAGAGCATATAATCAAATGCAAGAAGTGCCACCAAGTTCTGTTCTATTAGGTTCCTTTTGAATGGGCGGTCTTATGCCAAGTACCACAAGAAAACGGTTGGCAAATGCAATCCAGTTAAGAATACACACGAGCAGTGGTCCACTGCTCAGCACGAACCGCGAGGATAGCTTAACTTACAGTGATTTATCAAGAGCGATTTTTCGTCAATATCCAGTAAACTATGTGGATCGCACGTCCGAGTGCCTATCCGATGGAATTCATGGGTACAAACCAAGCTCCTTGAGAACTCGACTGGCTTGGCAGGTGGCCAGTACGATTGCCGCAACTTGATCCATACCAACCAAACGGCAGAATCGTTTACTGGGTGACACCAAAATGTTCTAACACAGTGCGCCAAAGATTACTGGGAATGGCAAGATGGTTACTTGACGCCTCTCTGCATCAATTAGAAAAACACCTAAAGTCCTCGCGATCGTCTTGACCAAACAACCACAGATCTCAGCAACCAAGCAAATCAATCAAGTGATGTCCTTGTTCTAAATCTATTGTTGAGTTTTCATTACCTTTATATTCTTGTATCCCACATACACTCCATGTTCCCATGATATAGCGAAAGCAGGTATTAGAATAGAAAGTTCTCTGAAAGACATCATCAAAGTTTGCAAGCCTTTGTGTTTTTATTCAAAATGCGGATATTCTGAAATGTTTACCCATCTACATGTACACAATCTACAGTCTATTCTGTCACTCGTACATGAATCAATATCTATTTTTTATACTTTTCAACAGATCATCATAACGACTTTAAAGGGCGTATAAATTTGTTGTATTTACGCCTACTCTTCCAGGGTCCCTGACGGCGTATCCATCACATTAATGGCGATGCGTACTCACGCGCATGACCTGAGTCGAGCTGTTGCTGGCTACCTACTCCCTCGGGGTCAACCACCAGCACAACTGCTTGGAATGGGCAATCCACAATGGCCTCAGGCATTCTATTCACTGAAAAGTCTCAACGCCAACTTCAATTCGATTGATATATCTTCCGGGGACATCCTTCTAGCACGATGTGTTTACGACAGTACCAGTCGCACCAGAGTGACACAAATGGGTCATACACACAGTGATGAAATGTGCAACCTATACCTGCTATATCACACCAAGTAAGTGCCGTGGTCGTGTCTATTCTCTTTTGCAGTAGATTATGTCTATTGACAGTGCAATAGGCCCTCTTTTCCTCTGTAGTGTCCCGTTGTCTTGTTTTCCAGCCTTTTCATAGTTCATTCTCCAGTGTTTGCATTTTAATCAAACAGCGATATGATCAACCCTGTAAGATGGAGCTTCCCACGAGATAAGAATTTGGTTGGGCTCTTCTTGAGTGGTCAAACGTCACTCAAAGAGCAGAATACTCCCCTTTTCAAGGGAGCATCTCCGAAGCAAGGCCAAATTACCAAGTGTCAATGACATCGTTTTACCTTAGCCACGACCTAGTTCGATATCTTCTCGAGAAGAGGTCTGTCCAGGAAAGGAGTTACTTGGAATAAATTATAGGGTTTGCGTACGTTTTCAAATGCAAAGATTGTGTTCCAATCCAGGATATCGGCTGTATGTGGTGTAGAGGTGTGCGGAACACTGAATCGTGTCACAAGGTACAACTCGTCTACAATCAGCACTAGCGGTAATGTTCGACACGATTATCCTAGTGGGGCGGATGCTCCGAAAAGAGAATATCCTTGGATATCTAATTTTTATGGGTAGTGGCTGAAGTACAAAAAGACCACAGAAACCTCTGATACAGAAAGGTTAAAACATTCTGCTAGTTTCTTTTCGTATGCCAATACGGAGAAGTGCGCTGTGAGGGAATTTACTTCCTAATTTGCAGTGTGCCAACTTGTGAAGAAGTTCTGACGAGGGATGGGAACAATCTAAAAAAAATGGAGGTTACCTATAGCCAGGAACTGCACTGCGACTATCTAACATACCCCATTGTCATATCTAGACATAAGTGCCACAAATCACTTTTGAAAACGCACTCACTATTTACTGAAGTGCAGCAGCAAATAATTTTTAAGTAGTCACATGTACGGAATGAAAATTCTGGGAGCTGTACGGAAGCTCCTCAAAAAAGAAAGCAATCTGTTCTTCCTTGGGATTGAACTCTCTACAGGGTAACTTGGTAACAAGCAAAGCGCCCAGCATTTCCTTTATAGGTTGGTAATATTCAGAAAAATTGCTGCCGTCTCATCATCATCATCAACATGGATACCATGACGTCAGTTTTCAACACTGATGCTTCGCTGTCGTACAACCATGATTTACCTGAAAGTCTTATGGTGAATGAAGGAATAAAGGTGGACAAGGAGGGTACTAAGTACAACGTTAATGCAATCATTCCGAGGTGCATACACCTCTAGACACAAATTCAGGCAATCTGGATGGCAACTGACAACCGGAACACCATTTACATCGATTAGCAGCCATATCTTGCAGCGTCTCCAACTAGGCGCATTAGGAATCACGCGTTTCCCTTCCTGGAAGGCGAGTAGCACCGGCGGCAACCAAGCGTTTCGTAATCTCCTTCACATCCCTATGCCAGGTCACCATTCTGCTTCCGCCACTAAATTGGGCATGAGAAACAGCATCCTCTCCCGCGAACGGTGGTTCGGCATACGCAATACATCGCCTAACCAACGCAGCTTCTGGTTTCCTATGGAGGAAAATGTTGGTAGCTTGCGCAATCGAAAACTCGCTTTCCAATTTCCTCGTTACGTATTTTCTGATGCCAATCTACACGAACTATGGTCCTGAGACATTCCTTCATGGGCCCCATCTGTCACACTACAATCAGAACTAATGCAAATTCCAAGGTACTTCCAAGGCACAACAACTTTGAGTGTCTCTCCCTGGATTGTTAGTGGCGCGTTTAGTGACTGCATGCCCAGCATCATAGCCTTACACTTCGTGGGTGCAAAGTGCGTACCAAAGGACTTGGGCCAGTTCATCGAAAAACAGTTGCGCCCTCAGCTCCTCTTCGGAGAGGAGAGCAATTTCGTTTGCATATTCCAGATCGACAAGGTTTAAGTCAGAGGCTATTTGAACACTATAGCTTTGAAGACCACTGAATATTCGTCTGCCCATCTCATGCGTGATAAAACCGGGTCACTCCCCACGCATAGAAACATGCACCAATATGGAGTTCTCTCAGTCTGGATACCACTCACTTAGACCACGGAATGATATCAGCAAACTCAGCAGAAAAAAGATGTGACAATTTGGTTTAGAAACAACAGTAGACATTAATGACCGTTCTATACGCTATAATCGAAAAGCGAGTTAAACTCGACGACATATGTGGAGTTGACCATTGATTTCATCATTCAACTGAAACCCAGCTGAATCGCTTGTTAACGATGTTTTCAGTTTTTCATTGACACACACTGGTTTTTCGAAAGACGCAGTCGAATCCAGAAGGGCACAGCCACATCAAAACTTTCATCTCTGTTGCGTGTCATCACGCTGGTTTGGAAGATGGATCGCCTGGTAGTGGACTTCAGCATCATGTCAGCTGTAGGGTGGATGGGTGCAAACAATTCTACCGCGAACTGTGGTTGTATCTCACTCAGGAATAAAGTTTATTATCAGTCAAAACGAACGGTGAATTTTGAAGCGCGGACATTGGTCACTTGACTCAAATGATTACTATTTAGTTGTTGGTGGTTGCGGGATTCGTAGAATTCACGTTCACATCGCTCTCGTTTGAACAGTCGTCCTCCTGTCCTGGAGCCAACATTCTGGTGACCGGGATGTGGTTGCAGGCTGCATTCACTAAAAATCAGACGAGTACCGGTCTGTACAGGTCGGGTGCCCTCTGTATGTGGTCGTACCACGAAATATGGTGACAGAGGTCAATGGAGCGTCAGGTTTTGCCAACCCAATGATTTTTCCTCCACACAGTCATGGAAAAGTTTATTTCGCTTGTTCAGTATGCTTTTATGGGGTATTGATTTCGGGGGATTGTGACCATTAATTGCTTCTTCCGGTCAACCATATTCTGTTTTCTGGAGTAAAATACTCTTACCGCAGCGTCTTTTATCTTTCAAATGAAGAGCACTATGAATAAAACCAATAAATAATTTTTTAACGTTAAATCTAACCTGTAAATTAATAACTGTGGTCCAGAGAAACGAGGCATGTCTGATAATGTTGGTACAAATGCAAAGCCCATGAAATTTTAGTCAGTGTGACAGGAAAATTTAAGTTCAATTCGCCATATGGTGGGACATCGTTAGTCCTCCAACCGAGCGAAATTGCATGCAGTTTGTTCCGGTCAGTCTCACTGCACGTGCCGAAGACGCAAGACGTGGGTTTTTACTTAACAAAGCAGTCTGTTACTGCCAACGCATGAAGGAATGTATGCGCCACACAGCACGAACGGAGTGACATACCCACGACATATTTTCAAGTATGAACTGTACGCAAGCAACTTTGCTGAAGTTTTCATGTGCTTCCCGATTTTTTATGAGAGCAAATTTGAAATTGGAGGGCTTTTTCAACCTCCAGCCCCAACAGCTTTGCTGTTGCCAAAATTAGACTAAAATCAGTGACGCTACCAACCGCAAGTGATGATGTCCCCAAGATTGGTGGCGAAACATTTGCAAGCTAATTACTGGCTTCTTGCAGACATCTTATGACAACACTCTTTGGAACATCTTAAAAATTCCATCTAATCATGTATAGCCGTAATGCACTACTCATAAGGTTTCTGAAAATTATTATTCTGCCCACGGCCGGTTCATTAGGTAGGCACATTTCCCGAGATTCCGTCAAACTTATGCTCTTCCCGAAAAAGATCATAAACGAGAGATTCCGCTGGGTTCCGCATGAGTCTCTCGCATAACCTAATTGGTTTGCAAATGAGTGTATTTCTTTCATCTGGACATCCTTCGATAAATCACAGAGCGTCATGCCATAAAAACGTCTCCGTGATATATAGTCCTTTTGTGGTTGAAACGATATGGCATGTATTGTCCATGATTTCGACTCGCAGTGCTACAAAAGTCCTCAGTTCTCTACACTTCACGACGGGTGCTCTTATCGCAAATAGACGAGAGATTGTATCCGAACTACTAAGGCCCAATTTGTCACTACAACGAACATGGCGGATGCCTCCAGCAGCATGGCTTTCCGCTACCCCAAGATCCATTAACCGAATTGTAACTCATCGAAAGCCCAGTTAGAAGTGAATATTCTTGCTGTGAAGATGAATTAATCAAAGGGTCGTTTGGCGTGTCGGACTAACCAAGTTTGAGCACCTTCGCCTGTTCAGACACTAGAATTCTACGTCCATTATGCCCTGCTGTAATATTGGCGATGTGCTCACTTCACCTGCTAGACATCTGTCATTCGAGTCCCGATACGGCTATAATAAAAGCAAAAGCTAGTAGCTTCCTGCCTTAACACGGGCTAACCGGAATAACTGCGCCAGGAGGAATGTCCAAATGAGTGCGATTTTAATATGATCTTGGAAACTACTTGATTGTGTTTACTCGTCTTCAAGGACAACTATGCCAAATTAATACGTTAGAGTCGTTAACAAACGAGCCCTCTCTGTTGCATTTGGAACAGAGTGACAGTCAGCAAAGTGTTGTTCATTATCTGGCGCTTTGCTCAAAATAACGATAACCGATATCTTTTCAAGTGTATATCCTGCTCTGGGTCACTTTTTGTTCATTCGGACAGGGAAAATTGTTTTTTTTGGGCGATCCACCATCCACTCTGTTGGACGTGCGAAGTACGTCGTGAGAGCCAAAAATCACTGGTTTCCCTGAGTTTTACTTTTGCAATTGCCATAAAGTAGCTATATGACGGTTTACTGTTTTTGTAGGTAAGCGGCTTGGAGATCCAGTCATTAAACAAATCTAACTAAGTTCGTTTCAGCAACCTATTTGGCTCCTCATAACAACGAATGGAAGTTTTGTAGAAGATGGAGAGAAACAGAAAGGCAAACTCCTCAACCAGTGGTAATTCATGCTCTCATTATCCCTTTTAAGTGGACTAGGATTTTCCTCCATTTTAACGTAATCCCCCTGTTGTAAAGTAAAGCGACGGTGCTTTCAAGGAGACTCTGAGACCAATGCAATCGTATGGTTATCAGGAAAAGATTAGCTCAACTCGCCAGCTCCTATTTTTATAGGTTTATCTCTGCTAGGAATACAGGATTGTGTTTTGTAGTGAGTATCCACAAGCGATTCCAGCAAGCATAACATGCAGTTAACTATGCGCCATGATCGTCAGCGGACCACGGAAAAGCTACACGATGTGCGTGATATTGTCCATTAGTTTGAGTCATTATAAAATATCAGTGAGTATAGAGCTACGGCTTGACTAGTATGGACTGTCTTCCGGTTTTATAGTCGCGGTCAGTTGGTTGGTCGCGTGGCTCTTAGCCTCAACTCCAGCATTTTCTTGTCAGTTGTCCTAAACAACCTACTGCCCATGAAACCTTTGCGAATTCACTTGACCCGGATTATGTCCGTGTTCAGCTATCGTCGCTCAGCATGGGGACTGTGAAGTTCTGCTTGCATTCGTGGCATTGGTGAGACAAACAGGCTAGTTGACGCAGCGTGGGCGGAGAGAACAGCAAAAATTACTCTGATATTGACCAGAAAACTTAGTTATTTTTAGCAAATTTTATGCTGTATTTGAGGTTTCATTTGAACTGAATGGCTGAGGACTCTTGAGTAGTCATAACAGTCCGTGTTTCACTTAGGACAAACGCGAATCGGCCACAAGGTAAGATACCGGTAAAATACCGGAAATTTCCTAATATATTTCCTCTCTATTCCGACGGGAATGCAGTCCGCTGGGCCATTTTAAACTTCCAGTTTGCAGGTGGAAGCTAGATCACTATCGATCTGTTCCTAATCCTTGGTTGAACGGGCTGTTCAGGGCTTACTATTGGTGCTTCTGTCAAGTTGCTTTTTTCGCGTCTTATCCATTTCTTTCTTCTAATGAACAACCTCTTTTCTCGTGGTTTTATTACAATACCTTACCATAATTGTACAGTATAAAGCAACAGAGGTTCCCCCATGAGTGAAGTATATCGACACTGATAAAGCGCACCTGGATGTTTCCGTTCACTGCAGGAATCAGTGTTCTTGTTTCAAAGGGGCACTTTCTTCGGCAAGTTGGCAAAGGCATCGAAAGTGTGTTGGTCGGCTGCTAATTTACAAACAACAGTTCGCGTATATTATAGTCCTGCAGCGGACCATCATTTTGCGAATGTGTATTCTACAGTTGAACAACTCAGCGGCTAGCTTCTGAAGTCCGGGGGCAGTGAATTTGTTTTTGTTAGTAGCATGAGATAATTGTGTGCACGATGTGATGAGTGTGTACATACGGTTATTCAGTTCTTTGGGAAATGGGCACGCGGGTGGAGCTTACTTGTCCCTCACACTCTGACGGGGCCCATGTGACCACATTTTCTCGGATGTTGCTACCATAAGCAACAATCACGGGGAACAATTCCACTGCCTTGCATGTCCTGTTTCGCCCTTATGGATATGTCAAACGGCCGGTAAAATGGCGAGATAGCAAACAACTCTTGTGCTCTATGTTTGGTCCCCAAACCACTTACAGCAAAGCAAAGAACAATAGGCTGTCTGATAGTAAGTTACCTGTTACCAACCGCAGAAAGTTTACTGGTAGAGAGGACAGTGTCAAGTGATACGTAGTCCATAGTTTGCTCGAGTCAACATTTTTTCAACGTCCGTACCAATGAGTTTCGCAGATTTACACAGCCGAAAATACAACTCGTCTCGATAATAGCAAATAATCGAGTTCGTGCTGAGTTCCATGTAATTTACCGGAAACCAGTACACTACATAAAAAGCTCCAGTGGACGCGTTAGTCTGACTGAAATTGGGCAGATGCATGGCAACTGAAATGAGACTTTTTAATCCCATGGGTTGATTTTACGGCAGTGAAGCATCCGTGTCAACAGTGATGTTGTTGTCTCTGATGCTGATGATGACGATACTCCCATGGGTTAACCGAAGTGGGCGCTGTTCACACTTTCTGTTAGGCAGTCACCTAACTGTACGAATCATATTTCATCTCTTAACACCTAAGTCTCAGAACTTTTCAGAGAGTCTGACCTCGTAAAATAAGTTTCCAGTGACAGAGAGTCATAAGCAGCCGATGAAATGAGTTCGATGAAGAGCTGATTCTTCCGTTTTCAACATCCGACAAATAGTTGTTATCCTGAACTGAGCGGCGCCTCTGACTTGAGATGACGGGTTGGCTGCAAAGCTATTAGTTAATTAGTCATTTGTTAAAATGCAAAGTGGGAACATAAAAATCTAGACAACTTTTACGCTAACCAACAGGCTGTAAGTGTTCGTGGCGTTACCTGACAGGCGCGTCAACCGATCGATACAACCAGGACCGTTACTGGGCTGTCTTTTGAGGCACAGGAGAGAAACAATCACATTGCTCAAGCGTGAACATGCTCACCTGTTCAAATAATCCAGGTGTGCCCAGCATGTACCAGTAGTGTAGTGGTATATCGTATGTCCGAAGTTCAAACCCTCGTCATAGCCAGAGATAAGTACTGTTGATGAGCTCTAATAAGGGCGAAACTCGAGCTCAGTTCTTCCTGCCTTTAGTGTGGACTCATCAAAATAACTGTACTAGGTCCAGAGGAGGGTCGTTCAAACGAAAGTGATGTGAACGTGAATCTGTTGCGTGCATGTTCCTCGGCATAAGGGGGGAGGATATGTTACAGGCTTACTGGGTTTGACCCTAGCATTAATTTCAAAACACCAGAGTAGCGTATAAATCGTCCAGGAACGGTTGAGGATGTAGGTTGCCGATGAGTTCGAAAGAGAACAAAATTAGAATCAATTGTTTTTGTCTTTGGTGTGGACTAGCCAAATGAAAATCAATCCAGGGTTGGATAAGGTCTACTCAAACAGGGGTAGTGAGCATACAATTCAACAAAACTGCGCAACAACCAGCAAGCATATTCATTTTCTTCCCACTTAGGCCTTGTCTTGTTACGTTGAGGAGGAACTCCTTCGTGATTCCAGGTGGTAGCTCTGTGTTTTTTCGAGAGTCAGTGGAATCTAAAGCATCTCCTTTTTTGACTATGTTTCAACTTTTTTCATTCCCCATAGTTCTTTCAGTCTGCTTCCACCGGAGGAAGGTTTTTGTATGGTGAATGAATTTAACGAACTGGCACAAAAGGTGATGGACGAAAATCCAGACATGCCATCATCAACACCACCAAAGATTGTGCGTGGCTCTGTTTCAGATTTACTTGGGAGTTCCAGTGGTACAACTGCTCCGAATATAAGCCTTCCCCAAATGCTGCGATTGGACGGTCTACAAATCGGTCAAGTAAGTAAAAAGAATGCAGTTGGTTTGGTTTACGACAGGACCGGTCTTTCTGTTTTCTCCTTTAGTCTCTGTTTTTAACCTTGCGCAACCTTTTAACACCAGTCGATTGTCATTTCAAATGATGGGCCTTGAAACATGCAATAGTACGTTCAGATATTTTAATTGATCCCCCCGACCCATGTTACCGTGCGTCTTTTCGCGGTAACTCCCGATTATAGTTTATCAATTGTTGTTACACTACAGACAGATGCCGTACCGAGTCGGTGTAAATCAATCAGCAACCGGTCATAATGTCAATCTTAGGGCACCCATAATTGCATTCGTTCTGTAGGTGTTCGGACTGCTCGCGAGCTGATTTTAGTTGCCATGTGCCAACTTTTGCATATATTGCAGTGAACTAGCACTCAGGATAGACAACCTAGCAGCATAACGCATTGAGAAGACAACTTTCAATATAATAGAGTTTTGACTCCGATACGCTGACTCCATCGACTCATTTCATCGGCAGAGGCGGCTAGAGTATGGTGATATCCGAGCTGATCTCACACAGTTGCCCGGAGAGTCGATCAAAATGTCTGTCGGTATAGGGGGGTATATTTTTCGCCTTAAATCAAGCACAACTGATAATTTCTAACAGGAATGAAACGGATGCATAGTGGTGCATCTTGACTTTTCAGCTCAGAGTGAGTTTCCATGTAAATTTTAAATGGGTGCGATGTGATCTCGGTTGGGAAAGTTCTGTTAAGCAGCACGATGCCTGGTTATTAAAACGATCAGTTGGGTCGTTGTAATGAATGTCTTGTTATACCTCGCGCTCACTCTGTATAAATGCAAGCTGTCTGGCGTGACAGCCTTGCAGAAGATGCTCATTAATGTGATATCATGAATCTGTATTTTTTAAACAAGAGTTTCATCACTCGGGTTAAGTCAGTCCATACTGAAAAGCCGAGAAATACTGTACAACTGTTTATTCTTATCGGGATCCATTAGCAGTGCGCATCGCATAAATCTCCATGGAAATTCGAACCAATGATTGGAGCATGAGTTACATTATATCCCCTCCGGGGGCTAGGTAACCAGATAGCTGGTCAACACTCATGGACGAACGTGTTCATCTTATGCTACCAGTCTGGTGATGGTGAGTTTGAATCTCCGTGGTGATTCGTTGGATGCACGACACACCAATATTCGACACGTCGTATGCCAACGCACTACTTTATTCTGGTTGGCTAGAATGATACTGAGGGGGTTAAATGTAAGGTGAACAATTGCACAAAGTGTCTATTTCTCTCTCGTATTTCGGCCATTGTTAAATGGTCTATGGGAACCGATCCTGCAGTAGCTGACCATTTGAGTCAGTGTTTATGATCTTGGATGACTTTTCACCCAGTAGTGGGTTTTCCAGTCATGTAGGTTTTGTTGAATTCGAAACGAGGAATGCGCGCTCGTTCAAAATAACTTGGGTGCTTCGCTCCCTCGGTCATGACCCGTTTTCTAAGGGTCGGTTGTAAAGTGTGAGTACAGATGCGTTCATTCTTGTTCTTCGGACTGACTGGTCTGAATAACGAAATGAGCGCAATGGCGGGAGGTATAATTTTGCCCATTTCCGGACTACGACATCCTCTAGTCCCAAATCAAGATACCCCATAAGTAACCAACTTCATTCGGTTGAAATATATTTTAGGCCAGTTACACTGTATGCCCTTTCTATTCTGATAATTCCTAATTGCAGAAGAAAGCTGCTTCACTGGTTTTACATAGTACATAATAATCCCACCCTTGCTCGGAAACCCAACTTCTAATTGTACGTTCACTGAGTTCCTCCTTCCAAGTCAGTTTCTACGAAGCTGCTGTCTTATCGCGTCAGATGCAGTGCTCCCAAGTTAGCATGTGTCACTGGTTCCTATGTTTACAAGTCCTTCTACTCGAGCACGCCTTTTGCTTGCCTGATCTGGTCCAAAGAATTACGCGAAAACTCATGAGTCATTACGACCCTGTTTTTGATCTGACGGGTGTTCCTCCCTGCAGGTGTCCGTAGTTATGCACTGTCATCATTCAATAAGTCAGCTTAGCCGCGTATCAAGGTTACCCCTCTAGAATTTCAAGGGTGAAAGACATTTACAGAGGCAGCACAAACGCAGCTTGCCCCACACTCGAAGCGACGAATGTCTGCGTTTTCTACCTATGTGGAGAACATGTACAATGCTACGAACACTCAGTCGGAGGACTATGAGATAGTCTCTTCCTCTATTTTCATCTATCCTTTATGTCAGAGAGAGAATACTCTTAACCTGTCAACTCGATACCTTCCAGACAACGTAAAGTTCATGCTTTGCTTGGTTCTAACGTGTTGGAGAACATTTCCCGCTCAGAATTAGTCTAACTGTCCAACAACCCTTGCAAAGTTTGCGCAAATGGTGTTTACAAGTGAAATTTCCTCCTCTCTGCTTGAAACCCGAGAAGCACCGCAAAATCGTCTCATCCTCAGAGGTAATACACTGCTCATATGGTTACTGAAAACTCTCCGGCGACGAACAACCGGTTTAAACCTTCCTGAGGCTCTTCACTTAGGCGCAGTCCCCGAGTTTCCGTCAACCTTATATTCTACTTGACTGATATAGTCATCTACATACCAATTTGGCTTTGAAGGGAGACTCACCTGGAACCCAGCTTTTTTCTACCCTGTTGGACATCACACACAGCTAGCGTCAAACGTATATTCACGAAGATTTGAAGGCGCCACTTTTGGGCTGTTGGCTGAAAATTATGGCTTTTGCTCAATCCACAGTTAGTCAATACAGTGTCACCATTCTTCAGTTACATAATTTATTTCACGTGATTCCTGACTGAATCTTTGCGTGAGGACTCAGCTGGAAGTTGCATGCGGATTGTGTAGCTTGTCAGCTTCCTGCTGGTCTATTGGTGGCTCATCGGACTACATGCCATTCACAGATTGCACTACTCTCACAACTGAAGACCATCATAAGCATTCCATTATCACTGAGGGGACGCGAAGAAGCCACCTTGAGTGGTTACAGGTGGTTACAGCTGTTTTGAGTGAATTATAGCCTGCCACTTCTGTCCCACTTTATACTTCTCCATAATTTAGTTTTCTCGGCTACAAGTATTGAAGCAGAATGTGAACACCTCAGAAATAGCGAGGTCCCAAGTGTAGTTGAAAACGCATTCATTATTCGGTTTTTTAGATTGATAGTTGCTCACACTTCCTGACAGTCGACCGAACACCATATTGATGACCGTGTCCATCGAATAGCTTCCGCTGCGGTTTCGCAGTTGTGTTCGAGTCAGTCGACTGGAAAACCTTACTCTGTCAGAGTTTATCTATAAAAAGGTGGCGATAAAACTCAAAGTAAATGGTGCAGTTCATCAGCCCAGTCGAATGTCTGTTTTCCTTATCGACTTGAAGCTAACTGTACTCTAATCGGCATGAAGAGGTTTTATTTTAATGCCCCAGTCGAAAGAACAGGTTTCGAACTTTGACTTTATTACCTAAAATCGAAGCTTTTGCTAAGAGTAGATGTTTGTCACCTCATCTTACGAAGACAAACACGATTAAAAAGCATACAAGGAAACGAATGTAACGTCGCATTCCCTTAGCTGCGAGGGAATTCCCTAAAATATGATACAATAACTTGCTTAATCGGAGACCACGCGAATTCAAGACGCTTAGGCAGTGCAAAACAAAGTCAGCTGTTTGAAACACTTGTGAATCTCAAAGGAACAGATTTGAGCTGGGTTTATCACTTTTCATAAATAAGAAGTGAAGCTTTACACCCGATAGAAGGAGCGGAATCCTCAGATTCCGAAACAGCCGAAATGCTTTTAAAGAAAATTCCTGTTATAATTCATACTGTTCTTAAAGTATAAGGGAGTCAGTAGAATTATTGACCTGGACGGGACCAAGTCTTCACAGGTCGTGTATGTGTACGACTGGTGAATCGACCCAGTTCGCATTTCAACTCTAGCTTATTCAGACCGGCTGTCAAACACCGCTAGTGTGTGCGACTAGATCGTCAGCCTTTCTAGGTTCATCATCAAAGTTGCGTGATCTTTTGTATGTCTGTACTGTTTTCTTCGTGTCCAACCTTATAGTCGTCACATCTCAGAAAAGTCCGACGTACTGGCGTTTGTTCCGTTCAAAACTAGCTGAATGTTCCACTGTAAAGGTTCTTCCGGTACTCTAAATACTAAGGAAGCACTAACTTTATGGTTTGCAGTCTTCACTTTTTACCGACTTGAACTATGGTTTTAACTATGCATTTGTCCATACATAAAAACCTGGAATAGAGTTGAGACTAATCAGCCAAGGCATATGCTTTTCTCAGACCAGGTACATAACAGAGGTTCTGTGACATACCATCCCTTCCAGTTCGCTTACTCTCATGCCAATCGAACCCTCATCCGCTAAGGTCTGCAGACTTTTCGCATCCAGATCTATTCCTCCTCCAAATTTTTCATTTTTCTGCAAACGGCTTTAGTATCCTCCTGCTTGTCTACGCTATCACCACCATTTGCTGAGAAGTGGTCTCCATCTAACTCACCTGCACCTCAGGTACTTCCAAGAGCACAGGTCATCCGCGCGTTCAACCGACATGATCTGAATCCCTACAGCGGCATCGTGTGATTAGTCTGAAGACAACAGATTCTGTGTTGATTTTTGAATACGCATCGACCCAGACAGTTTGTCCCCGAATAGGTAGGAAAATCGTGGCACAATAACAATGAAAATTTAGGTCGATATGCTCTGGCAGCACAAAGTGACTGGAAGATATATCGAGTTCATCGGGAATACTAGTTCCCTGGGACATAGATCTTTGATGTGTTCTCATATCAGACAATAACTAGTGGTAATAATCGCTTAGCTGTGACATCTTTGAGCACCTGAATGCATGCCATCCGAGGAAATCACGAGGGCTGATATACTACCAGTTTGCATAAGTCCAGATAGCAACAGTCGAAAGGCTGTGGTGGGGTTCGAA